AATGTTTAAAAATATTTGGGTTTTTATGGTTTTTTTCTCTCAATATTTCCATTATTTTAATAGGGGACTGAAGTTAGATTAACCAGGTGGTAATTGACAGGATCACCTTTTCCTTTTTGAAGGTTGGTAGTATATTTTGCTTTTATCCCTATCCTAGTACACTGCTAGTACTCCATCATTTCTTTAACTAGTTCTTTTGTGCCATAAAATATGCCATGAGAATCCACTCACTCACCAAAACTCATGTTTCCTAAACATTTTTTCATTAGTATTTGAGGCTGCAATCCAGAGTCGGTTGTTCTACAGTAATATGAAGATTATTCTTGATTCAGCATTGTGGATTGTGCCATCTCTTCACCTCTTTTTTATTATGTTCAAGAAAACATTTCAGATATTTTAGAAATATTTGTTACTGCTCCATTTATATGTATTTTCTTTAAAAATTCCTGGAACTGGGATTATTTTAACACTATGTAGTCCTAGAAATGTCATTATCTCATTTATCTGTCCTGTGATGCTTGTATTCTTCTTAAGTACTTTAATCTTACAGAGCTCTTTCATCGTTTTCTGTTTCAAATTTGGGATAGTTCTTCGATTAAAGCTGAATACAGATTCAGTCCAAATCCTTATACTATGATTCCTGTGACATCATTCTGTAGATACTCCAAAAAAAGAAAATATTTAAAAACATTAAAATATACCGTGTTTTCCCGAAAATAAGAGCTACCCCAAAAATAAGCCCTAGCTTGATTTTTGGGGGTGGGCTTAATATAAACCCTACCCCCAAAATAAGCCCTAGTTTTGGAGCGAGGCACACACCTAAAAATCAAGCTAGGTGGAGCTGCCCCACGTGCCCGGCACCCACTTACCATTGCAGCCAGGCCTCCCATGCCCTGACAACTGCCTCACCTCGCCAGTCCACTTCTGAGGCCGCTCACCACCGCTCGCACGTATCACCCACAGCCTCCATTTTTCCATCAGAGGCCTTCAGGAAATGCCTCTGCAGCCCAGAATGGAGCTCTGTATTGACGTGCATGGTGCCTCCTTTCCTGAAGGCCTCTGACAGCAAAACAGAGGCCGGGGGTGACACGCACAAGCAGCGGCAAGCAGCTGCAGAAGAAGTGGGCTGGCTGGGCAGGGCAGTCGGTGCCACCACCACGAGGTGAGACAGTGGAAAAGACATTCTCTGAAAATAAGATCTAGTACCTCTTTTGGAGGCAAAAAAAAAAGACTGGGTCTTATTTTCAGGGAAACACAGTAAATGGCAAAATACTTGAAGACTAAAAAAATGTAAAATATTAGGGGGGGGAACCTGCCACTGCAAGAAGCTTCCCTTTTAACTGACAAAACATTACACATACACATACCTAAATGCTGTGATACACCAGAAAGTATCTATTGCAGTTGTCCATCGATTACATCTCTTGTTACTGTACCAAAGCTGTGTATAAACTGGACGGGCAGAATTTACAGGTTTAAAATAATAGCTATCAAAACAGGTTTATTGAATTTGACAGGCTCCTAATCTTTTAAATCTGATTAATAGAAAACATGTATTATATTTGCATCAACAAGAATAGTCCACAATGCCATCTTAACTGCTACTATCTCAGTGAACCTAATTATCATAGAGAATACATATGTTTTATGAGGCCCATTTGCCTCAGTTTTTTATAACCCCTTTGCATATTTTTCTATGCATTTTTTCTGTATTACAAAAAGGGCTTCTGTAACAGCATGAGACGGGGGTAGCTTTCATGCAACATTATAGGAATCCATGAAATATTTGCTACAAAATGCTGTTCTTTTTTGTATACTTGTTCCATTTTACTTATTTCCCTTTTTCAAAGTAATCTCTTTCATAATATTTTTCATATTTCTTCCAAGTCCCTTTCAATTAAATTATATTCGTTGATGTAGAATTCCAGTGGTATAAATCATTGAGCAAGATAGACAACATGGAAAAATAAATGTATTGATTTTTAATGCTTAGTTGCAATTTATTTTTGAAAACTATTAGATATGGTAGAATAAAATTATCTTTTTATCTCAGGCCTAGCCAGAAAGTATAATGGAAGGAATTATCTTTGATGTTGCAGAGATGTTCCTTGGATTTTTATTCCAATTAGTAGATATGTTTTTGTGTTGTAAGAGTTCAAAAAGTCTATTTTATTGCTGTTATTTTAAAAAGAAATAAAACCATAACTTTAAAATATTTCTATGTTTCTGATTTGTATCAGTATTATAAAAAAGCAATGGATCTGAAGCAGCTAACATATATTTAATATTTAACTTTAATGTTAAAATGGTTAAATTACAAATAAAGTAGCTAATAAATTATCCATGTTTTAAATAAAAAAACATTTCATATAGGATAAATTTGTTTGAAAGTAGTTGGCATTTCATTTGCATTGTATGGACTATTTGTCTATTAATCTACTAATAGAGCATTAGTTCTAATATTTAACACTTTGGAAAGATTTTGACAGAATTTAAATGTATTTTAAAAAGTATATGAACCATCACTAAGGGACAGGATGATTCTCTGTCTAATTAGATTTTATTTCTAGCATTTTATTAAAGTAGCTATAGGAGCCTAAATGTTTTCAGGATGATTTATGAATTACATAAAGTTTAAGTGTTTTCCTGGTTTGAGGCTTAAGTCCAGTAAACTGCATGCAAAATTAAACACCGTATGAAAGTAAACATTTTTAATGCCAAAAGCTTAGCGAAATGACAAAATAGAATGATTTTTATAACATAGATCCTGTATCAATAATATACAACGTATATTTTTTAAAATAATTTTAAGGACATTAAAGAGTGGAACTGACATCAGTCTATATGGCTATTATTATATTATATTGTGATGAATTTGTCTCATATTGACGTGCATTATAAAATGCTTCCAATAATCTCATATATTGTTCTGAGTAACCAACCCATGCATACACTGAATATCAATGTAATCTCTATCTACATTAGAAGGGGGCATTCAGTATAGTTATTGTAAATTTATAAATTCAAACAGAAGAATGGTTTCACTTATGCAAGAATGTTCTGCACCTAAATAGAATGTGCTGTATATTTCAGGAAATTGCAGTTCTCTGAAATGTTTTATAGGGAGGAGAAGAAAGTTTTTACAATTTCTGACTTCTTGTATAAATGTTAGATACAGCCCAGTGCCCTGGCTCATGAAATATGTTAAGATTGCTTAACTATGGCTTATTCAATAAGCATAATAGTCTGCATTCTGATATTGTGTTACACAGAAATCATATAAATTATGTTATGGCTGTTGTTCATACTATGTGTATTTAAAATGTATGCCTGTTCAGCTGAAATTAATCTTACATTCAACAGAGACAAGTTCAGTTTTCTTCACTTACAAAACAAAAATCAAATGCAGTTATAGCAATAGCACTTAGACTTATACACCACTTCATAGTGCTTTACAGAATCAGCATATTGCCCCCAACAATGTGGATATACAATGAGGGATACCTAGACATTGTACTATAGAAGGGTAGCCAAAAATCAGAAGGAATAGCATTTTTAAACAGATTTTATTAAAAGAAAAAAGCTTTTGTAAGCTACATTTGATAAAAGTATCTGCAGCTCATGAAAATTTATGCCTTTTAATAAAATTATTAGTTCTGAAAAGGTGCTAGAAGATTAATTCTAATTAATGTTTATTAACAATACTTGTGAAAATGATCTTGGAATAGTAGTTGATTAGAAGAGCTGTGAAGATCTGGCTCTTTGTCATACTCGCCGTCTTTAATCTTAACCTTTTATATTTATTGATTTTATAGTAATTTCTTTGATTGTTGTACATCACTCAAGAGTCATTAAGTTGGGTGGCATATAATTTTAATAAATTTTATCTAAATAGTGTCTGCAATAATGATGTTAACTGTAAACAGATAAATGAAGGGTTTAGATTGTATCAATACAAGTCTGATTGACAAGTTATGGAAAATAATTGTTCCATTTTATTATATTTTGGTCAGTTCCTATCTTAAGGTCTATGTCTAGTACTGGACAATATACTTTAAGGAGGATTCAATATTCAAAGTTTGAAGAAAGACAGTGATCAGGAGAATAAGAACAGCCTTATGAAAAAGAGATTGAAAGGATTAGATATGTTTAGCTGGAAAAAAAAGATGAGTCTGGCGTGTATGATAGCATTTTTAAAACACCTGAGATGATGTTACATAGAAAACGATCAAGATCTGTTTTTTCTTCTTCCATAGGACAGGACATGAAAAAGTGGATTAAGTGACAGGAAGGCAGATACCAAGTGAACATTAGAAAAAAACATAAGAGCAGTTCAGCGGAAGAACCAGTTATCCAGGAAGGTGGTGGTCTCCCCGTCAGTGAATATGTTAAACAAATTCTAGACAGGCATCTATATGGGATTTATTCATTTGAGTTCCTGCCCTGTGCAGGAGATTGTACATATCTTTGTGGCTTAAATGATTCTTTTCACCTCTGATTCTATAATGTGCTTTTTACCCAAATGAAGTTGCAGAGTTGCAGAGTCTATAGCCTTCAACAAGGATGCAGAGCCAAACTACAAGATCTACACAGAGATATGTAAACAATGTACCATAGGGGGAAAGTTAGCATGTTTTACAAATTATTTTATCTAGCAAATGCTTTTCATACTATATACTTTCACTTCGCTGGAATTCATCAATATCTTGTGCATGCTGTCTTGGTCAGTTTAACAAGGAAGTGTAATTAATCACTCTTTTCTTTCTCTTTATGTCCCATTCCTCTTTTGTCCATACCCTTCCATCTCTGTATCTCTCATACCTTATATATTATTTGGTACCCTTCCATTCTTCAGTGTGATCAAGATCAGTGCATTCAGAGCACTAAATTCGTTTTGCAGGCTGCTGCCACCCCACTCCTCCAGAGTGAGCCCAGCCTAAGTAGTGAAGAGCTGCCTTTACCAGGAAAAAATACTCTTGGTGCTCCCTGTGCTATGATGACACTAGGACAACCAACGCCACCTTCTTCCATCCCAAATCTCACATCAGAAACAAGCTTGTCAGAAATGATACCATTAAAAGAGGACCCTGAAAGTCATCCATTTCTTACTCCTGAAGAAGCTCCACCCGGGATGTTGCCTCTTGGATACGCCCTGACACACAGCCGTACCATGCACAGCCTCAGCCTGGTTAGCCAGGATTCACTGCATGAAGACTCAGTGCGTGGCCTTGTTAAACTCAGCTCAGTCTAAACGATATAGAACATGACTGCAATTAAAGAGTTCTTATTTAACTCCAAGAGCAATTAGCCTTTGGACTCTGACATATACATGTCACTGAAAATTATTATGTAAAGAAGCCTGTTGAAAGGACAAATTATTTTTGTGCCGTGAAGTAACAATTACATTTGTTTTACAGCAAATTTATTGGTGGCTTGGGTTTGATGGTTACATTGTCAAATAACCAATTTAGTTGAAATTTGTTTGGTGATTTATAATGTCCAGCAGTTTGGAATCCTGGTACTACAAAGTTGGTTATTATAGTTCTTAAAATACGAATGATATAAGTGTCATATTCCATGTTTTATGAAGTTCCTTGTTGTAATATCTCCTTTGTAGCCAGACATTACAGTGCTACTCATAATTGAAACAAAATTAACATTGGATGAATGCAAAATCAATAAGGGTTACAATTGTGGATTTGCATGCCACACATTACAGTGGGTGTTAACAGTAGTGTGGGTATTTGAAAGACAGTGCTGCTGCTTTACTATTTGTGAGTACCAAAGTGCTGTTCATTGTAAAAGACAGTACAACAAACAATATTAACTTTTTTCAATCAATAAATAAATGAACTGGCGGTGCTCAGTTATGGAGGATTACCTTATTTTTGTATATCATTTATTTTTTAGTGTGAAATAACATATTGTTTTGTGCCATAACATAGATTTCTCTCCACCCATCCCCACCTGTGATCACACAAGATGCAGATATTCAGTAAGATGGCATTCTCTGTATCTTTGAATATGTATACATATCTCTTCATAAAAAGCTAATGCAAACCAGCATATTACAATACAACAAATTACTTTTTTTCTAAGATTATATCATTAAGCAGCCAAAGGAACTTCCAAGACCCAATTATGGATAGTTTTGAGTTTTGTTTTGTATACAGTTTTATATATAACGTACTTAATGATGCTATATGCCTATAATTGATCTGCTTGTTAAAAATTACTTGATGTTGGATTGCAAAATCTTCCATTTTCAAAAGGATTTTGATTCAGCAGAGACTTTCATACAAAGATTGCTTCTTAAATTATTTAAAACGTGTTCACAAAGGGACCATCTAGAGCAGCATGGAGGTGACGAGAAGGTACTGGGCAAGAAAAATAACTGGTGAAAGGGGGGGGGGTTCCTTCTTAATGATTTGGGGAGCCATCACTGCTCCTTGAGGGATTTCTTTAAGTTTGTTTGGGGCTCATAGTTAAGATTATTGGAGAAGTCTTTCACTTGAAAGCTTGAAAGGTAAAGATATTCACGTTCTTAACTTTGTTGATAGACAACAAGGGTCACTGGGAATTCCCTCAACAGTTTGTAATCATTAACTTTCATTCAGCCATCATTATTAATAACTACGGTATGTTTCAATTTAAATTTGTGATTGATGCTTGATTCTAAGAAATTTCTTATGGCTTAAAGAAAAGACATTCCCTCAGGGATAACAAACATAATAAGAACTTAAATGTTGCAAGCCATTGCATTTTGTCTTAGTTTTAAGATGCTAGGACCTGCAATACCCTTTTCTCAGGACAAAATTTAATGCAGTTATTTTTGTGGCTGTGTGTGTGTTTGTGTATACACATACATCCTTAAACATAACTGCAGGCAGGTACACTGAAAAAACAGATTGTGAAGAAACGAATACATTGCATCTCAAAGACACTGACAATATACCTTTAGAAGGAAAAAAAAAAGCACAATGTTTTAATTGGAATAAGGCCATCTTTATTATTACAGAAATGCCAGATGACTTAACGGGGAAGAAAAAACCTTTACACTGTGTACAATTTTGTAATTTTTTTCTGAGTAGCGATAAGTTTTTCCTTTTGTTTGCATGTATAGAAAATAATCTTAATAACCAGAGATGTCTTTTTCCCATTTTACAGAAAGCTATTCATGGTGTGCAGTTATCTGACTGAACCATAAATGTTTACAGCTTTCATGTAAAGAGATACTGTCTGTTTTTCTGCCTGACCTCACAGGATTTATTTAAAATCCTGCATGTGTTACTTTAGCGCATGCACATTCCAAAGAAAAAACAAAAAACTAGGTGAGTTGTATTCTCTTCGCATAGTAAAGTTGATTATTGCATGGACAGGTGTTACCAGCAGCAAATAGCTGTTTAATTCCATATAATAACAGGGAGTGGCTGATTTGGGAAGATTTAGTGAGTTAACACAAAGGAAGCCAACTTCCTCAGAAAGCCCATGTAATTGTTTACATTTCCATACAACAAACACCTCAAAGTTCACAATCCCCAAACTGGCTTGGTGAGTTCATGATAAAAAGTATGGGATGATACATCATGAGAATTTCTAAATACAGCTTGGGTTATCGTTATTTTTATCCCAAGCAATATGATTTGGCTATATCTTTAGTAAGGATAATCAAGATAGAAGAAAAAAAAAGGCATGACTTTTGCCTCATTATATTAAAATAGAATTTTAGACATTCTTTAAAATCCATTTTTTAAAAATAAAATTACCTAGTTATTGCCTAGGTAAATAACTTGATGTAATTTATTTTTAAGAAACATAGATGTTGGTTAGAGCAGTGTATCAGTTTAACAAGCTTAGTATTTTACTAATTCAACTGATACACAGAAGATAGAGCATCCATTCCCTGCAGTGTAAAAAATCAACAATGTTAAATATTTTACCCTGCCATTATTGCTTCCCAGCTGTGAAGCTCACACAAATGAATAGAAGTATTTAAAAATTCATTGGCTCACATTTCCATAGAAATGCTCATTTTATTTTACTAGCATTTTCTGAATATCCTTGCCATTGGGAAATTGCAGTGTCACACTTGGTACAGATCCATTTGGGTTTATTTGGTTTCTGGCAGGAGTAAAAGGTTATCCTGTCATTGTTCTAAGTGCACCTCTCATTTAAAGCTTTCAAGTGCTGCACTGCAACACTGGGATATCTTCCTTGGCTTACCTGATGTTTGAGGGAAGCTTATGTATGGAAAAGTACTGTGAATACCTATTTTAGAACAAATTATTTTTGTTTGCATTGATGTTTAGTATTTTTTGCTGTTTATACTGTTTATGACTTTATGTTGAAGAATAAAAATACAGCCTTTTTAAGCATTGCCTTCTGTCTTATGATTTGTTTTGACGTGCCTAAAAAACTGCAGTACTTGTTTTATTTTACCATGACATTTTACCATCACATACTGCTGCCTCATGATGACATCTGCTGGAGAATGCTAGAAGGAGTCTGTCTTTTAATTAAAGCTGTTCTGTTAATGTATATCAGGGGTCTTCAAACTTGGCCCTTTTATGACTTGTGGACTTCAACTCCCAGAATTCTTCAGCCAGTGTGCCTGGCTGAGGAATTCTGGGAGTTGAAGTCCACAAGTCATAAAAGGGCCAAGTTTGAAGACCCCTGATGTATATGATCATTCTCTAAGATTTAATCCTAATACTATTTTTTTTTTCAAGATTATAGGAGACCAATAGTCAACTTTTCCACAAGCACGACTTTCTCATTTCATCAGTTGTAAATAGAATTCATTTAATCTGCCAATAATTTAGCTAATTCCATCTGTTAATTCTATCTTTGAAAGATAATTGATCATGGAGCTCTTCACCAGTTCTTTAAAATGTTGAAGCTAAAACCCTGGCTGATGGTGATACTTATGGTAGGCCCTGTGCCTATTGGAAAAGTCTAGATTTTAGACAAAAATTGAATTTCTCTTCATGGTAATGTTTTACAATTACTGTTTACTAATTAACAAAACAAATGATTCTTGTAAAAATTCTCAAAAGCAAGTTCTTCATTATTTATTTGTTAGATTTTTACCCCCTTTCCTACAGGAATTCAAGGTTTCACCCCTCAAAAAGCAACGCCACCTGAAGTCCATTCTTTGAGGGAGAAGGTTTAGAAAAGTGAAATATAAATAAACCTGATTAAGTAGATTGGGCTAGGATGGTGGAGCGTCATTTCTTTCTTCTGTTCTGCAATAGACTTAACAACATTATGGCTTTTGTGATAATTTAAAGGAATGAAATGGATGCATTAAGCCAGGCATGTCAAACTGCCAGCCAGCGGGCTAGATGCATCATGCCGAAACCGTGCCCACCCCATTGCTGGCAATGGGGAAAAAGTCCCGATACATCACGCAACATCATGTGACATCACGAGTTTGACTGCCTGCATTAATCTCTGAAAAACTTTTTGTCTCTTAATCACTATCAAAACAAAGAGTAAAACATTCAAATCCGAACATCGAAATGGGGTGCTGAAGCACCTCACTTAGTGTAGATGACCAACATGGAAGTGGTCCAAAATCATCTAGTGTTCAATTTACTCAATGTTATGATATTTGGGGATCTGTCTAGGTATTTTCTTCTTTTTGGATGTTGAGAGTTTTTTCCTTTTAAAATGTTTAATAAAATGAAATATAATATTTATTATATTTTAAAGAAAGTAATAATGTTAATAGACTTGAATTATGGGATGTTTTACACAATAAGGAGTTGAAGGTTGCAGAATGCAGTAAGAGTATGATGGAAGTTCAGCATGCATGAGAATTGAATGCTTAGCTAAAAGTTCAGCTGAGCAAATATAAAACAAGCATGCTTGTTATTTGAGTATACTTACGGATAAATGAATAATTAATTATATTGTGCTGTTAGAGGTGTGATGGGACATAAATGCATGTGTAATTTAGCTGCTAAATGTAGATTGGATACATGAATAGGTTGAGAGGAAGATGGAGAAAAATGAAGTTGGACAGCACTAATGAGAGGTGAAAAGTTTAAATTAACAAAGGCACAATGAAGCACTGATTAATTTACTGGAAATAAGAATATAGTTTGCAAAAAACAAAAGGTAAGGAGAGGGTACAGCAAGTTACAGTGCTATAAACTAGTTTTAGCTTTATTTTTGTGTCAAGTTTCTTTTGGTTATCACATCTTAGTCCATGTATGTGCCTTGTATAATATTGTTTATTCTGAAAGAGAATAGTATAATGTATGTATGTTTATGTATTATTTGTTTAGCATCCATGAAATCAAATAACAATGTGCCACTTGATAAGATTGCTGATCCTTGTTACAATT